TAATCTGCCCTTAGTAAACATGGCCAATGCCAGAAGACTGGGAAGGAAAAGAGAAATAAGGTATGCAAAGAATACAAAGCCTGCAATTATCTAGAAGTCTGTTTGTAGATTGTCCTTACTAAACATTTCTAAAAGGCGTGTTTGTTATTTTACAGATAAGGGTAAAAGTCTGCTTTAAGGTTCCAATAAATGTGCAGTGGTAAATGAACAGCATATGCAAAAGTACATCACCCCCTCCAAGCATCAGAATGCTCAACATCACATATTTTATACCTTCCTATGCAAAAGACTTTTGCTGGTTTCTATACATGCCTGTTCATACAAATCATTGTCCATTTTGGGAAGACTCTAGTTACTATAACATTATTTCTTGCTTGCATCCAAACTTCTGTTTGATATTCATGCCCTTTTGGCCTGGTCTCATATCTTGGGCAAACTTCCAAACTGTTGGTAATATTACTCAGCAGCCTCATCTCAATCACTTATATAGCCCATCCAATTTGTAATTTAATAATGTTCTCCAGTTTCTAGCAGTTGTCATCCCTTATGCTGATATGTTTATCTGATGATATTAATGCTGATATTGCAGTACACATGAGCACATTAGTCGATAAATTACATGCAGGTGTACCTGGAGGTAGCCAACTCCTCCTAATAAGGTGCAGGGACGCAAGTGAATACCTCCATGACATTGCTGGTAAATGTGAATACCTCCATTACATTGCTGGCCAGTAAAGGTGCCCATACATCGTACGAAAATCGTGCAGTGTATGGAAGGCGTGCGACCGTTTCTACTGTATGGTCACACAACTTTTGTATTTCGAGCATGTTCGAAAACCAGCCGAAAATCGTACGATTTTCGGCTGGTTTGAATCATGATCGTGAGATAACTGCCACACAGGCCGGTGTGCGCAAGCGCACACTGCCCGTTCAGCATTGCGGTTATCGGAAGCCCGCCCTTCAGAGAGGCGGGCTTGCGTTGATTGCAAGTACGATCTGCCTGTCCAAGATGGGCAGATCGTACGTTTTTAAAATTACTTTACAACCCTCGCAAGACTTCTGTCTTGCGAGGGTTGTATAGTGTATGGCCACCTTAAGAATATCTCCGTTACATTGCTGGTCAATGTCAATACCTCCATTACATTGCTGGTCAATGTGAATACCTCCGTTACATTGCTGGTCAGTAAGAATATCTGTTACATTGCTGGTCAATGTGAATACTCTGTTACATTGCTGGTCAGTGAGAATACCTCCATTACATTGCTGGTTAGTGTGAATACCTCCATTGCATTGCTGGTCAATGTGAATACCTCCATTGCATTGCTGGTCAATGTGAATACCTCCATTACATTGCTGGGTAATAAGAATATCTCCATTACATTGCTGGTCAATGTGAATACCTCCAATACATTGCTGGTCAATGTCAATACCTCCATTACATTGCTGGTCAGTGTTAATTTGATTTTGAGTTTGACATTTTTCAACCTGCCCCAAGGAAGAAAAAAACGTGCTCAGTGGCCCCCAGGCCATTTGAGTTTGAGACACCTGGCTTACAGTCCTCCCATTCTGACTGGGGCCATGCGATGTTGGGAAAGACAAGTAAGGGGGGAGATGTGTCCCTCCCTGTGTTGTCAGCATTTGCTGGGAAAGTCTTGGCTGCCTGTCTGGAGTGATTTACAGACACAGAGCAGCCAATGTGTTCCCTCCTTTCATGTAGAATCAGCCTTGGCTGAGACCAGTGTGGAGGTGAGTGAGAGCACAGGACACTGAGTGCCAAAAGAGCTGCAAATAAAGTGCAACTTTGGCAGCTGGGTGACAAGGGAAGTAAGCATGGGCAGAATAAGTGAGCAAATAAAATAATACCTAGAATACCATCATTCATAATATACTGTATGAACTGAAATGAAGGAATGCATTAAGATAAGCCATTTTGACGTATGGCATGCTGCTCTCTTATCAAAAGAGTGTGGCAAGTGCCAAATATAATAGGGATGTGCTAGCAGTGACAATGCACAATTAAACATTGTCTTATATGAAACTTTTATTTTACACAATAAATACACTACATTTACAAGTTTATCTACTGTGAAAAGATACCTTGTAGTATTCACAGTTTGAGAGGGTGCATTAACTCTAGTGCATTTGAAAACTAATATTGTCTATGGCTACTAATCAGAGGCCAGATTTGATTCTTCTGAGCAAATGGAAACATACACCCCAATAGGCACACAATTTTTTTTCCAAAATCATTTTAATACATGTCACCAGGTGTATACATTCTAATACAATGGAAGAATGTATTATTTTAGTTTTGCCTAGCTAAACATATCATTTCATTTGATTTGGCATGATTTATTCCTAATAGCTTTCAGTTTATAAAGAGTATATGGGTATTTTCACTTATAAAGAACAAACAATAATTTCTGGTGAAATTACATCAAAACCCAAATAAGGTGGATCTTATTTCTTATGAATAGATTGCATATCCAGTCCAGCCGATGGTGAAATGCGAGGAGGCGGCCAGCCCCCGCAGTGCAGGAGGAGGTCTGGCCCTAGCACAACATGGTCCCAGCATTGCCGCTTCAGTGGCTTCGAGACAGGCTGGGGCTCCATCACCTCCCTCCTCTTCTGATGTCGGACATCACATCACTTCCAGCCAGTTCGGCGGCAGAGGAGGTCAGGTGTACAGGCACCCGGAGCAGGTAAGGGGAGCTGGGAGGGAGATGCAGCCCTGACCAGCCCATCTGAGACCCCTCCAGAGCACACCATAGTGTCTCAGATGGGCTGTGCAGCATCTATTGTGGGCTCTGCAGGGTCACTCTCAGGTGGGTCCTGTGTCCAGCGCGTCACTAAGCCCTGCGTCCAGCGCGTCACTAAGCCCTGCGTCCAGCAGGTCACTAAGACCTGCGTCCAGCGAGTCACTAAGTTTAGAGTCCAGCGCATCACTAAGCCCAGAGTCCAGCGTATCACTAAGCCCTGCGTCCAACGCGTCACTAAGCCCCGCATCCAGCGCGTCACTAAGACCCGCGTCCAGCGCATCACTAAGTCCCGCCTCCAGCATGTCACTAAGCCCTGCGTCCCGTGCGTCACTGTCAGAGCACAATGAAACCCAGACAAGCAAAAGGTGCTAGTTAAAGTATTTATTAAGAACAGTGTCCACAGGAGCAAGCAGAATCATAAACCATAACAAGCCAGAGTCAGAAGCCGGAGTGGGTAGTCGTCCAAGCCAGGTCAGGAACACAGAGATCAGCGTCGTCAGGAACAAGCCCGGAGCAGGAGCCAGAGGAGAACGTGAGCCAGGATTGGGTCATACACAGAATCAGGATACTCAGAGCAGCAGGAATGCACTAGCAGGAAGACAAGGGCAAGGTCAGACTGGACTGAGTGGTTTATATATAGTGAGTGGGGTGACATCATCACTCAGAGACAGGATACTTCCATCTGACTCTCTCAGATGATGATCTCCTGCCTGGCCATAAGAGGGAGCCTGGGAGTAGTGAGCCATTGCTCCAGAGTCTGATGGCAAAAAGGAAACACAGGTGAGTAAAGCGGCAGCCAAGCCAGAATGCTGAAAACCAGTAAAGTCACTAAGCCCCGCGTCCAGCATGTCACTAAGCCACGAGTCCATGGGGTCACGAAGCCCCGAGTCCATGGGGTCAGGAAGCCCCAGGTCCATGAAGCCCCGAGTCCATGGGGTCACGAAGCCCCGAGTCCATGGGGTCACGAAGCCCCGATCCCATGGGGTCACGAAGCCCAGAGCCCATGGGGTCACGAAGCCCAGAGTCCATGGGGTCACGAAGCCCAGAGCCCACGGGGTCACGAAGCCCAGAGTACACGGGGTCACGAAGCCCAGAGTCCATGGGGTCACGAAGCCCAGAGTCCATGGGGTCACGAAGCCCAGAGTCCATGGGGTCACAAAATCCTTGCGTCCAGCAGGGTCATGAAATCCCTGCGTCCAGCAAGGTCACGAAATCCTTGCGTCCAGCAGGGTCACGAAATCCCTGCGTCCAGCGGGTCGCGAAATCAATGCGTCCAGCAGGTCGCGAAATCCCTACGTCCAGCGGGTCACAAAATCCCTGCGTCCAGTGGGTCACAAAATCCCTTCGTCCAGCGGGTCACTAATCCCTGCGTTCAGTGGGTCACTAAGCCCTGAGTCAAATTCATATACTGTTCTGCATTGCTGTATAAATGTATTGCTGGGATTTGTAGTCCCCCTACAAGCTGGTGCCATTATGCATTAGAGTGTAAGCTCGTCTGTACAGAGACTGATGCGACTGGCTCAGTTTTCTCTGTACAGCACTGTGGTATATGTCAGAGCTATATAAATGTATAATAACAGTGTGACTGGCTCAGTGAGGCGGCGGTGCGCCGGGGCGGGTGGGCCTAAAGGCAGGTCCACACCATTTTCCAGACCATATCTGGTCCGGAAAACAGTGTGAACCTGCCGCAGTTTCAGTGCATTCCACTGGTCTGGAACGGACTGCGCTGATGTCAACAGAGGCCAGAAATAGCATCGGGAGACATTAGGATGCATATTGAGTCCGGAAACAATCTGGTCTGGTACGGTAATCTGGATGTGGTGTGAATGGGCCCTAAAGCATATAAGGGGACCCAAAATTTCTGATGGCTGCCCTGCTCCCTTCCAAACTTGACATTTAATATAAAGATGTTGTTGGGTTTATTCATTTATTGGCTTCTTTTTTTCTCTAAGTCTATTAAGTCTTTTTTTTTTCTCAGAAAAAGATCTTGTTGAAAACAAAATAGTTGCAGGTTTTTTCGATGTCCCTAAGATCAAGGTGGTCATTTATGATGAGTGTCACAAAGGCTGGTGTGCGGAAGGCAATCTATATATTAAACAATGACTTTGTTGTAACTTATGAAAATCAAAGTAACACAGCACCAAATGGATGTAAAGCTAATTAATTCAACACCCATCAGCATCAGCGTATCCCCTGTGTCCTCACTTTAAAAAGAGACTTTACCACATGAGAGCAGCTTACCTCTCCAGAGATCTGATGGGCAGCAGGGACAAAAGAGTGGAGAATGAATGCATAAGGACAAGCATACAGTACCAATCACACATATGGAAATAGTGTACATGGGCACGATACCCACAGCTACTTCCAAACACATAAATTACATCATATACTGCTTCTTTTTTAGAAGCACATTGTTATGTTTTCATTAAAAAGATTACTTTTTTGAACATTACTGTTTTTTAGAGCGCTTGTCTTTTTTTTATTTAATTGATAAATGTGTTGACTGAAATATTAGATGTTCTTGTTCCTTCTATCTGCTGTCAGCAGAACTCTGAACTCTGAAAAGTGATAGATGCCAATGTATAACATACAGCTGGGCATAAAGATTCCCGTGTCCTCCTCTGGTGTGGCCATTAGCAGGTGTCTGGGATTCGGGGTAGATACAAATAATGTTTGCATAATAATCTTACACCCGAGTTTCTATAAAATGTTTCTATTCATTTTTGTTAAGCAACTTTCCATCACAGTATCAGTTTTATTTGTACGATGTGCATTAAAAACATGTAAACAAAGTTGAATGAAAACATTTTTTATGTAGCTTAGTTGAACTTTTTAATATGTGTTTCCCATGTATTTACATTGACTTGCACAGAGAAATAAAAGCAAATTACAAATTCATCCAAAAATAGTATTAACATTTGTGATTTTCCCAGAAAGGGCAAAACAAGAGGTGCACTTTAACTTAACCCTCCCCAGACAAATATAGTAACTTCTCTTTTGCTATTTTGTCATTCATTCTTTCAGCTGGGAACAAAGAAAAGTCCTGAGTAGGCTGCGAGTGGCTGGAGAGAGCTATGGACTTCCCATGTGACAAGGGCTGATTGGCCCAGTGCTTGTCACATAGAGTGAGTAACATGCTCCTCAATAGCCAAAAGTGCCAGGTGTTTCCTTAATTTCCCTGTGCTAATCAGAGTGGCAGAGGAGTGAAGAAAATTGGATGTTTGAACTTAAAGTTTCTTGGAGGTTATTGAGGCACACAGGATTTAGAGACAATTATTATATTATACTGCCACCTAAAGGAGGATTTGGACACTGGCAAACAAACAAAAAATAAATAGTGATCAGTAAAACATCTCCCATGTCCAGCATGCCTCAGTTTTGTAGAAAAGCAATACTAGGAACATGATTACACGGTGTGTCTCTAAAAAAACTCCAAGAAATTGAGTTTACGGTAAGTACCCAAAATAGGATTTTTAACTTACCCTAAAAATCCTTTTCTCAGGGTACAATACAGAATGCATGACAGAATTCAGGAACTTAGGGTTATGCTGCTGCCTTCAGGAGATTGGAAACTGGCAATAGAAAGCTGAAAAAGCCCAATATAACCCATCCCATTCACAGAAAGCCTCAGTTTTGTAGCAAGCAGTAATAGGAGTGGGCCAAGAACAGAGAACTATATCCTGTAATGTATTCCAAGTGAAGGACTTTACAGCTAAGAAAAATGATATTTTCTAAATTATACATTATAAGACAGTAGTTAGAAATATAGGGATGTCCAAAATCAGTCGGACTGAGGGGTGGGCAACACAGCAACAAGGGCTACCAAACACACAGAACAAAAACCAACAGGTCAACAGAGGCAGCTCTACAGAGCCACCTAAAGAACTTTTAACAAAAGTCAGCATCAGCAGAGGCCTAAAGGTCCACCTGGTAAAACTTAACCAATGTGTGAACAGAAGACCAGGTGGCAGTCTTGCAAATCAAAGAAACTGAAGCCAGATGGTGAAAAGCCCAAGAAGCACTAAGTGATCTAATTTAATGGGCTTTTACAGGGAAAGGAGGAACCTTGCCGTTCAGGACATAAGTCTGAGCATCAAGTGGTCAAATCCACCTGTCAATAGTGGAACGAGAGACAGGTTGTCCCTTGTGGGGACCCTCAGGAACAACGAAGAAAGAGTCATACTGTCAAAAAGAGACTGTAGCCAAAAGATAGCCTGAAACACACATACAACATCCAAACAATGGACAGGGGGGCTCCTTAGGATGTTTTGGAGCAGGTCAGAGATGGAAGAACAATGTCCAGGTTAAGGTAGAAAGAAGAAACCACCTTGGGAAGCAAAGAAGGCTTGGGCCTCAAAGCAACCTTGTCTTTGTGTAGCAGGTTTACAGGTTAAAGGAGAACTATGGGGTTAGGGCTTTCCCCCATAGTTCTCCTAAGGGTAACGGGAGGACACAAACTAGCGTCCTCCCGGCACCCAAAGCTCAGTATACCACGAGCTACAGCTCGCGGTATACTGAGACGCCGCAGCTGAAAAGGATCCCGACAATTATGTCTGGATCCAGCCAGCTGCGTGAGTGACAGCTGGCTCTGCATATCTAGAGGCAGAGCCAGCTGTACCCGTCCCCTCCCCCGTCCGTTCCGCCAGTCAGTGCTGGAGAATCGAACAGGGGAGGGGGGAATCCAGTCACTCCCCTGTCACGGCTCTCTGCCGTGACAGGATCGAGAAGTGAGCGAACACCGGTATCTGTTCGCTCACTTCCCGATCTACTGAGCCGATCTGTGAAACTTTCATTGTCACAGGTCGGCTAGAACTATGCGGATGAGTGACATTTTTTTTAAATTGTTTTCACACTTCCCAGGCACGTTTCATGATCCTATGGTTATCAAGTATTGAGAGATAGTAGTTGGGTGTCCTGGCTAGTTTCTTCCCCTCCGTGGCCCCCGGCATAGACGTCTTCTGGTTTGCCACCCCTTGTTTTCTTGTAGTAGGCCTTGGTTGAGTGTGCGAATCAGTTTGCCCAATCAATATCAGGATAGTTGAAATCTCCTATAATTATAACACTACCTTGCTTCCCCGACAGTTCTATCTGTAAGATGAGCTGAATCTTCTCCTTTTATGTTTGGGGGGTCTGTAGCATATATCCACCAATAATTTCCATTCATTTTTATCTCCAGCCATAAGGATTCTGCACTTTCACCAATCCTGTAAGTGATGTAATCACGCACATTTACTTCCATATCTTTCGGATGTACATGCATACCCCTCCCCCTCTTCTTCCTTCTCTATGCCTCCAAAAGACATACGAGTCATTTAACCAGATTTCCAATATTCTCACAAAGTCATAATCCTCCTCAAGCAATAGATGTTCTAGTTCTTTAATTTTGCCCACTAGACTTCTAGCATTTGTGAACATACATTTTTCATTTTTAGCTTTTAGAATTGTCTTATTGCTCACTATTCGACTGCTTATTTGCATCAGCCAGACTTTCTGCATTGGACTTGGATAATGTTATCTGTGATCTCTTTTTCTCCTATTTCCCCAACATTTATGCAATGTGACCTTTTTGATCCCTGCTCACTGCCCCGTATAATCATTTTTGATCACTCCCCTCCCCAAAATCTAGTTTAAAGTTCTTCCAACCTACCTATTCCAGCAGAGCTGCACCTTTCCCCTTTAAGGTCTAGTCCATCCCTAATGTAGAGTCAGTAACTGACTTAAAAGTCAGCCCAGTTCTCCATGAGCTCCAAACCACTCTTACATCAGTTTCTCAGCCACCTCTTTCACTCCCTTAGCTCCTGCTGCCACTCTGGTGTGGATTGTGGCAAAGGAAGTATTTCAGAGAATACTACCTTGGAATTCCTTTTCTTTAGTGTATCACCTAAGTCCTTAAAATCTTTGTTAAGGATGCTCCATCTTCATCATTTATACCATGTGTACCATGACATCTGGATCCTTCCCAGACCCACTCAACAATCTGCAATCTGCAATGCCGAACCCAAGCACCCTGTAAACAACATACTGTTCAGAGATCACGCTCTTTATGACAGCTTACCCTGTATGTCCTTCTAATTATAGAATCCCCTACCAGCAGAATTTGCCTTTCTTTCCATACTGGAGCAGTCACTACACCTGGCAGCTAGAGGAAATATTCTGCTCCAGCAAAGCTACCCCTGAACTAATATCCCCAAAAGCATGCAATCGGGCATACTTATTGGAATGTAACAATTCAAGACTAGAATCTCTAACACTTTTAGCCGTACCCCATCTTCTGACTGTTATTCAGCTACCCATCTCTGGATCCTGCCTGTCTGTACTAACGCTCCCCCAGGACCTGATGGGTGAGGTCCAAACTTCTCTCCATGTTCTTAATGCTCCTCAGTTTCACCAGTTGTTTTATATTTAGAATCTTGGCTTCCAAACAAACAACTTGCATACATCTTTCACCACGGTATTTGTCCTCGAACAGTTGCTCAAGGAGCACATACATGTAGCTGGATGTGCCTGGTTTGCATTACCACTTACAGTGGTTATGTAACTAATTTCCTAATGGGGATGCACATTTGTTTTGGTTTTTGTTTTGTTGTTTGCTTTTAGTAATGTGTTGATTATATGCTCACCTTTTTCTTTGGATCCTAGACCAGCCTTCTTAGAGTTGCCAGCTGGTCTCCAGGCTCTCAATTTTCACAGCACCTTTCACAGTGCCCCTCAGTTATGTCTGTGTCCAACAGTTTGTACACTCCCAGTAGTTCTAACGGTACCCAATATTAGTACAGTGACTGGCCGTTATCAGCGCACCTAATAATATTACGGTACCTGTCAGTTGTCCCAGTACCTAATAACTGCTACAGTGCCCATCAGTTATCCCAGTAATGCAGTGCCCAGCAGTTTTTGCAGTGTTGCCCAGCAGTTATGCACGTACTGCAGTGCCCAACAGTTTTCCCACTAATGCCATGCCCAGCAGTTATTACTGTAATGCGGGGCCCAGCACTTGTCACCATAATGCAATGCCCAGCAATTGTCCCGTAATGCAGGTTGTCTAGATAACCTACTATACGGATGCCTTGAGAACAAAGCAGAGCTAGTACAGGGATAGCACTTAGGTGAAGACCCGAGGCACAACAAACAAGTCGAAAGGAATGACAACAAAATGGAAACGTTGTGCGCCTACAGCAAAACAAAGTGTTGATGTGCCAGGAAGATGGGGATTTGCATAAAAAGCATCCATCGATCCATCCATCTATTGAGGCAAGGAAATCTTTGTGTTTAAGGGAAGCAATAAACGACCTGGCAGATTACATGTGACATGTCTGCACCCAGAGACAGGTGTTAAGAACCTTTAAGTCTAGAATGGGGATTATGCCTCCTTTGACCTTGGGGACTATGAACGAGTTCAAACAGGATCCTTTAAACCTTTCCTTGTCCAGAACAGGGGCTATGCCCCATTGAGAGACGAGTATACTAGGTTTGAACACTAGGTTTTTAGGTCTGTCCTAACAAAGGGTTAAAGACTTAGAACCACTGTATGTTAATAAGAATCAGTTTGTCCCTCCACTTTAGCTTTCAAACTGCTCAGGGTAGTCTGGATTCTGCACAAGGCCTTTATCAAACAACAGCTAAAACAAAAGACATTTTTTAAAATTATTTTTAGGCGTACTGTGTGAATGGGAGCATATAAAGTTAGTGTGAGTGGAAATACAGTTTAAGGCAGGAAATGGGCAGGATCACTACATTTTTTAAAGAACCCTTCCTCCATGGGACATTTGTGGGCAAAAACCCTGGGAAAGACTGAAAGACTGTCTGGGTTAGGCCAGTTGCTCTACTGACTTTAAAAGAGAATGTACAGCAAAGATTTTTGAAGGGTGGTAAATCTTAAGAGAACCCAGGCTAGTGACCTTAAGTGCTGTTGATGCAGACTGTTCTAGGTCAAGGCATGTACACACAGCATCAATAAAGACAAAAATAGTATCCTTCAGTTTAGGAGATAAGGCTGAGGCCCGAGACACCTCCTAGATCATCAAGGACAGATATGAAAGATGTCACATCCTCATCTGAAGGTTCCAAAACAGCTGTAACTAAAGGGAAATTAGAGACTGTGGAGGAAAGGGAGTGGTTGACCACAGGAACCACAAATGTGCAGAGTTGGCTTAGAGTTCTGGGTGGGATGAAATCTCCAGTCCTGAGGTCAGGTGTTGCTGGTGATCAGGTGGATTAGAGCAGCCTTATTAACAGCCCAGACCAGAGCTCAGGGGAGGGTGTGTGGTGTGTACTAGAGGCACATGAGGGCCAAGGCAGGTGGTGTGCGCTGGAGGCACACGAGGGCCGAGGCAGGTGGTGTGTTGAAGCCACACCAGGAACACCCAGGGAGGCTGGAGGACAGTGGCCCTGAGGCTTGAGCAGCAGTGCTGTAAGAAAAAAACTTTAAAGGACTGGGACACTGTGAGTGTGTGGCACAACTGGAAAACCAATATATGTTATGCTGAAGACAAGCTATTTTATGTTGGACTTCCTTAGTTGTCTGAAGAACCCTGTGCGAGTGCTCTGTGAGCTCCCCAACGTCACAACAGATATGGATTACCAGCCACATATTAGACCGTATGGAAATAATTTTGTAGAAAGGGGTATACCAAAAAACCCCTCCCTTCGTTAGCCGTCACGGACATCGACGTCACCGGACTCCTCCCCCTTTCCCTTCGTTAGCCGAAGGAGCCACAAAGGCTGTAGCTGTATATATGTATTAGTATTAGGGATGCACCGATACCATTTTTTCCAGACCAAGTACAAGTACTTGTCCCACTACTCACAGATTCAACTACTGATACATTTTTGTTGAACCTCTATAGGTTGAATTTGATGGACTGTGTCTTTTTTCAACCTGACTAACTATGTAACTATGTTTAGTGTTTTTTTCTAAAACAATACAGACTAATGATTTCAGGACAGTGGTGGAGCATCAGAGCCAGGTCCCAGCTCCAACTGCTGTGACCCTGGTAGTTCTCATGAAAATGCCAAGTATTGGCAAAAATGGCAAGTAAAATCGGTTAAACTTTTCTCAGTAGTGAAAAACATCTATTCTCCAAGGACACTACCAAAAAAACTGAGGCATGCTGGGAGTATTTTTCTTTTTGCTTGCAAGTGTCTAAATCCTCCTGAAGGCAGTAGTATAACCCAGTTGTCTTTGAATCCTGTGTTCCGCAATAAACGAGAAAGAAAAGGTGATTATGTACAAGGGAAAGGTGAAAAATTAAAAGAAACCTGTTGCTTTGCCCTGACTGAACAAAGGACGGCTTTATGATTTGTTCAGACTGATCATTAAACTGATCTGAAATGCCAGTGTGCGATATTCCTTATTATATGTTATGTAAGCTATGTGCTTTTAAAAACACTGGCAGAGCCCTATTGAAATTGTCATAATTTTATCTGTCTGCCACATGTCCATGGCGATCCATTTCGAGGAAAAATGATTGAATACAGCACTGGGCACTGCCATCAGCAGAACTCTCAGCTAAAGTGAACGAAGTCTCTGCTGAAATTAGCTTCCACAATACAGAGGCAAAGCAGGTCACATATTCCAATAATTCAATGTTATTGTAATGTGACCAGGAATAGGAGCACTGCTTCTTTTTTTATAGAAGTCAGACAAGTTAATACAGAACTATTTTAATACCACTACTCCCTCTACCATACCTTCTTTACTACCTTCCTTATTTTATTTTAAATCAGACCTAAAATATGAATTTACATATGTTTAGTGCTGGAGAAGGTAATAGCAATGCATATTCAGCCCAATGTAGTTCCAGCAATAGCACCTTCCAGAAATAATTAGAATCGAATTCCAGCCATTCTAGACAATAGGTGGTATGTGAGGTTTTGTATTCTTCTTTTATGTTTATAAATGTTTATATATGAACACATACACCCCTTAAAAACCTGGCAGATGTGCTAACCTTACATGAAAAGCTTTTTTTGTCCCCATTAGAGAGAATTCCCCGCACTAAATTCACCAGAACAGGACATTTTTCCAACAGTGTAACAAAAGGCGATGGAGGAAAACTCTCATATATACGGTTTTAGCCCTTTTCCTCTCTATGCAAAAATAGAAAAAAAACTTTTTGGCTAGAATTTCACCTTAATAAAAAAAGTAATGGGTTACCCCTTTAAATGTAATCCAATGTAGTAACTGTCAGCCACACACCTGGAGGTCTGGCCCCAGTGAAATCACCATCCATCAATGTAGGCATATTTCACTGTACACTCTGTGCTAATGAATGTGAGATTTTTTAGGATTAGGTGACAAAGTTCTAGAATATCCTGTGAAGAATTCTTATTTCTATATTTTTTAGAATGCAAGGTTTTAAGGTGTATTCGGTTTTCTACCTGTATTCCCCAAATGTTTCATCCTTCATTGGTCTTGCTTCAGAATCCACCTGAGTATCTTCTTTGTCTTTCACTGTTTGGACAGAGTAGGTAGGCGTTTAGTATATAAAATAAAAAGGTAATTTAAAAATTACAAGCTAATCAAAATTAAAAATAAATCCATCAATGAATAGGTACACTGCACACAGATTCGGTTTTATTTATCCAGGCATTGCTGAAGGGCGCTAGTCCACGGCACTAACATTTGCTGGCAATTGGGTGTTTTTGAGAATCCTTTTTTACCAACATTAAAACATGTAGAAGAGGATCCCCAAACACAGCTACTAAGGGCTTCTTGCTGTCATCCTCAAAAAGAAAATCTTCTACATCAGGGCCCATTCTCACTTCTCTGTTCCTGTGTTGTGTTCGGCATTAACATTTATTTTAATGGGCTGCCAACACACAGGACTGGACCAAAAAAATGGAAATACAGCGCATTTTTTTTTTGTAATCCGATTTTTATTAGTTTTCAGAAATTACAGTACAATTCAACAAACAAACAAAAAACAGAGAAAAAAAACAAGTATACTAGTTGGAATTAACCAGCAGGAAGTAACAATACAAGGAAAGGGGATAAGGAGCCCGAATTCCCCATCAGAATACAACTTAGGAGAAACATCACAGCCGCTTGCAAACCCTTTCACACCAACTGGGTACACGACACATGTGATTAATCAGGTGATGTCCAGGCTGGTTACATAGGTTACAATGAAGATACACAGCGGGTCGAACCTCCAGCCCTGAGCTGAGGGCCCCCCCTCACAAGTGCACTAGGAGTAGGGATGAGGGACCATCAGATCAGGTCGCCCCCAAAACGAGTCACTAAGTCAGGTGGCAAGCCACAGTAGAGCACCTGCGGGGGGCTCGATCTGAGTGTAGCATTCTGCCTTGGAGGATCCATATCGGGAAGAGGGTTAGAGTAGTGAAAAGGCAAGGAAAGCCAGGTGGGTAGACGAGCTGGGAATAAGAAAAGGTGGGTAGTAAAAGGGTGTAGTAAAAGCGTAGCAGATAAGTACTTAGGAAGATCCCACCCCTGCCATGGGACCCTCACCCCTCCGTAGGCCAGTAGATCAAGAGGAGACAGCCTCCACAAAGGTAGCTGATCCCCTAAAGGTGTACCAGAGAGACCAGGTGTGCACATGAGGTTCTCCAGGTCCGCTATGTGGTCCATCTCTACCGCCCATTCAGCCAGAGTGGGTACCACCGGCGTACGCCAATGGCGCGGGATGACTGTCCTGGCAGCTGTAAAAAAGTGTCGCAGGAGGCCCCTTTTCGCAGTTTTCATAGACCCGGGGAGCATCGAAAGCAGCAGGATCTCAGGGTCGTTAGCAATTGTAATTCACGTCATTCTGAGATAGGCCCCCAGCACCCCTCGCCAGAACTCCTGAATCAGGGGACAGCTCCACCAGATGTGAGTCATGTGACCCAGGGACCCATTACAGCGCCGCAAGAGTCCGGGGTGGCAGGGTACATGCGGTGGAGAGTCGCCGGACACCTATACCATCTGCTCAAGATTTTCAAGTTCTTCTCGTGGGCTTTACTGGCAATAGAAAGAGAATACGTGAGCGCGAATGAACGATCCCAATCAGCCACCGGTAAAGTGGTCTCCAACTCCCTCTCCCACATCCGGGTGTAATCTGGCAAACCGGGGGAAATCATGGTGGAGACGATAGAGTAGATGAGGGAGACTGTGTGTGTCGGGGGTGATGAGGCCAGGAGAAGGGAGTCAAAAGCTGTGGGTTCTGTCAGGAAGCAGTCTGGGGTGGAGAAAGATTCTACGAAGGATCGGAACTGACGCTCAGCCAACCAGATGCCACCGAACGCACCCACAGGAGTGGGCGAGACCGGAGCTTGAGCGTCCAGAGCCGAGGCCAAGCGACGGTGGGTGACTCTATCCCAACGACCCAGGGAGGGTCCAGTCAGCGCTGGAGGGAAAGCCGGGTTACCAAAGAGAGGAGTCATCGGACCCAAGTACGAGGAAACCCCCAGGAGCGTGATATATCGATCCCATATCTTCAGGGTGTGAGAGGTCAGGAGAGGAAGAGTAGCGGAAGCAGGTCTGGAGCCAGGTTGTATCCAGGGTAGTGCCAATAAATCGGGAGACGTAAGAGACTCCTCCAGACAGACCCATTGTTTGTCCCCGGCGTGGTGGAACCAATCTACTATGCGAACCAACACCGCCGAGGCATGATAGAGGAAGATATCAGGGGCGCTAGCACCCCCTCTGCATTTTGGCAGAGCCAGGGTTTTATAGCCAAGCCGAGGGCGGGAGGATCCCCAGATGAAGCTTGTGAAGGCCTGTTGGATTTGTCTCAAGTATACTGTGGGGAGGGCAATGGGTAGCGTCTGGAAGAGATATAAGAACTTGGGGACAATATCCATCTTGAGCACATTAATCCGTCCCAGCCAGGATAGGAATTTACGGTCGTACGAGGCCAGGGCACCAGTCACTCCTGCCAACAAGGGGCGGAAGTTCAGGGCATAGAGGTCAGCCAGGTTCCTGGGAAGGTGGACACCCAAGTATTTCAAGGAAATAGGGCAAATACGGAAGGAGAAGTTGCTCTCAAGGAGGCGGAGATCCTCCATTTTCAGAGAGACATTGAGGATCTCTGATTTAGAGACGTTAACCCGGAAATTGCTCAAAGCACCGAACCTCTTGAATTCCTGCAGAATAGTAGGCCTAGCGACATGGGGCTGTGTGACATAGAGTAGTAGTAGTACTGAAAACGACCAAACTCATCTGCCCTGTGATCCAGGATCACTGCTGGTAGGGATTTGTGGAGTGCGATGGAGACCCCCCGCGACTTTTGAATTGCGTTGGTGCTATGGTACCAGGGGGTGTAGTACCTATTGGCACATGAGGGAGCGTGGTTAGTCTGGAAATGTGTTTCCTGGAATAGGACAATGTGCACTTGTGTCTTATGCATATGCTACAGGATCTGTCCCCGTTTGGAGGGAACATTAAGGCCCCTAGCGTTATAGGTGCATAGGCGGAGCTCCGCAGAGGAAACTACAGGTGGGGCAATGGCAGGGGTCGCAATATAGGAGAGAGGTAGAACAACTAGAGGAGGCTCAGAGACCGTAGAAAGGACAGAGGTCCCCGAGGGCAGACCCGGAAAGACAGGGGGGTAGAAAGAAGGGTGGGGGAATAGCAGGCGGGGAAAGAGGGAGGGAGGGGACCGAGGAAAGAGGTAGAAAAGGTATTAAATGAGACAAAAAATAAGAAACCAAAAAGGGCAGCCTAAACCGCTACACAAATAACAGTCGTCTAGCAAATGCTAGATAACAACAGTCTCCAATGGGAGACGTATCACCTACGTGGGGAGAGGTGGTCAAAAATGAAGGAATGAGGTGCCTACCGGGGCCTTAGTATAAAATAACATGTTTAACAGCAACACAGTTCAATACCCAATAAGGTCGGGTATCTCTTTAGATCCAGCTTATGTGTAAATTCCGGCTATGAGGCAGGAGGCCATTCTCCACGTGCTGCTCCCCCCGCCCGCTACATAGCCGCGAAGGACAGTAACATCAGAAACCGCAGGACAGTAAGTACATCATGTCCACAGAGCAAAATAAAACAAAAAGGAGAAAACAGCGCCAAATGCATTGCACAACCATGAACACCCCTGAGACAGCGGAAGGCCCCCAGGGGCGCCACTGGCCCAGGAGGCGAGCCAAGAAACCTCATCCACCGTCGAGCAACCCGAGGGTATCCGGTAAACCCCAGGGCCAACCAGAGTCCCCCCCAGCGACCACCAGCCCCATAGGGGCATAGAAGGGGCCAAGGGGAACCGGTCCATCCCATAGAACACCCCCGTGCAGCCGCTCCACGGAAGGGCCTACGAGAAAAGAGTTCAGGCATAACAGTAAAATACAACAAAGGGTCAAGGCAATGAATTAGGCAATCAGGCACAGTGCATACAACCGAACCGTCTGTGGACTAGCGCTCAGGGAGCAGGGAGTCAGCTCTCATTTGTGGACGGATTGGCCGGCAGCGGGAGACCCCGGCCCCTGCGAGACGAACGTGAACGGGCCCTCCGATGGCGTTGAGGCAGAACCGTGTTGGACCGGGGATCTTGTCCAGCAAAGGGAAGGTCAAGCCAGTCCGGGACCTGGATCGGATCCGTTTCCAGGAAGCCAAAGAGCTCGGGCAGTTGGTTTGGTGTGCGTAGATGGAAGGAGTCGGAGCCCTTGCGTATCAGGATGCTGAAAGGGTGGCCCCAGCGATAGGTTGCTCCCGTTTGGCGGATGACATCCAACAGAGGCCTCACCGACCTGCGCATAGCCAAGGTCAAACGTGAAAGGTCAGGCAGAAGTTGTATGGAAGCGCCGTCGAAGTCAATAGGACCTGTTCTTCATGCAGAGCGAAGAATTTCTTCCTTGATGGCATAAAAGTGCACCTGGCATAATATGTCCCTGGCACGTTTGGTGGGTCCCTGGGCAGCACCGGACACTCGGTGGACTCTGTCCAGCTCTATGAATTCAGCGGGGGGTTTCCCTAGGGCCATGTTAAGGATGGCAGTGACCGTGGCCTGTAGATTAGGATCCTGGGTCCCCTCTGGGATGCCCCGCAGGCGGATGTTGTTGCAACGGCTGCGGTTTTCCACGTCTTCCACCCTGAGTTGTAATTGCTGTAGATGGGTGCGTTGGGACCCCTGGGCCGCCTCCAGTGCCCCTATGCGGGTATCATGCAAAGTCACAGAGGTCGAACGGCCAGATATGTTAGTGTCGGCTGCAGTGACCCTCTGGCGGAGTTCCCGTACCTCACCCCTCAGAGCCCCCTCCAAGCGCAAGGCCCACGTGTCAAAGTCAGCCCGGAAGGCTGCAAGCAAATCATGTACCTCTCCTGACTCTGAAAGGTCCGGTGCAGAGAGGTCCTCTGGTGTTGGTGGATCCAGGGCCGTAGGAGATGCTGGCTGCAGTATAGTGGGCACATGTGAGGCCGGCGGATCCCGCACTTTCAGTCCTGCAGGCAGTGGATCGGGGGTGATGTGCAGACGGCGGGTCCAGTTTCCCCCGGGAGATGCTGGCTGCAATGCGTTAGGCACGGGAGAGGTCGGGGGGTCCAGCGGTCTCAGTCCCGCGGGCCGTGGATCAGAGGTACTGCGCAGGCGAGGCTGCGGCCTTCTTTTGCTGGGCGATCTTCGGCGCCATGTCGTGGCCGGCCGGAAAGTCCGTGATACTCGAGCGGCGGCTGAAATAGGATGATATGTTCCGGGACCAGCCTCAGGTGGGTTCTGGCTGCCGGACATAAAGCGGGGGTAAAGAAAAGTGCTGGCAATCGAGCTGTATGGTGCCCCGGTTCAGCAGAGCACTCAGCAGCACGTCTTCATCCCTCCATGGTCGGCCACGGCCCCAATACAGCGCATTTTGATGCAGCGCACCACAACTATGGTTGTGCATTACCGTACAATGTGGTACGCTTTACCTACAATGGGCCGACAACATGGATATGCAACATTTTATTCCGATACAGAGAACCACAACCCAGGGCACTGTATTACTGTACGTTGTGGTGTGTTGCTACCACAACGGGCTTCCAACACACAGGAATAGACTAACAAATTCAGCATTTTTTTTGTATGCAGCACACCACAACCTACGGTAGTGTATTACTGTACTTTGTGGTGCACAGAGTTCAAGAAGCAGACCCATGCACTTCTCCCGCGAGTAAACATCCAAAAACTGTCAGGAGTACTCATAATAAGCTATATTCAGCGCATTTGCAGTTGTATTTCTTGTACAGCACTAGCAGTTACTTTGTTGATTCTTTTTGATTTTAGAATTGATCTATAGGCTAGAATTAAGAAAGTTATTATGTATGGTTTCCAAAAAGAAATGAATAACGCTTTCAGAGACTGTGGGTATAGTTTGCTGGATTGTTGTGGGCTAGGTTTAATTTTGGAGCTTTAAAATGGAAACAAATGTCCTGAGTATCTGAATCTAAACTTTTACTAATATCTGCATGTAAATGTAAAATAATACTTTTATAAATGGAATTTATAATTTTTGTGTACATTTGTGTAATATTTTTTATAATGTTTGTGTACATTTCTTCAGTTCTCCCAAGGGTAAGGCCAGTGACACCTGCTATTTATAGGTTTCATTGTTTTACTTGTCAGCCTTTAATTGTTAGTTTTATCACACAAGTTAAAATTAACTAGAATTATATAAAACATATTGTTTTGTAGGTCTTAAGCTAGATTTTAAATATCTCATGTTTAAATTCCTCCAGCCACAAAACAGCGTGGGTGGATGAAACTCCACCGCTGGCTATTGTATTCAGGTTAGATGCAACACCCATCGATGCCTAAATACTACGGATGCACAGATACCAAGTACCACACTTGGTACAAGTACAGATACTTTTCAGCTACTAGACAGCTACTAGACTAGAGAAAAAAGCAAAAGGTAGGAAGCAGCTGTCATTTTTTAGGAGTATTGGCTACAGGGCTCCTGGTATCTGTGCATCCCTAGTATTTAGGCATCCATGGGTGTTGCATCTAACCTGAATACAATAGCCAGCGGTGGAGTTTCATCCATCCATGCTGTTTTGTGGACGGAGGAATTTAAACATGAGAAATTTAAAATCTAACCAACCAACAACAATTCTGGCTCCTATAGACTGGCTGTGTGGTACACAAATTAGTCCTGTCAATTTAAGAAGGTGCTCCTAACGACAATTTATAATGTATATAAAAGACAACTGTCCACAGAATCTCTTTGTTCCATTCAAACCTCACCACCATGGACAAGACCAAAGAGCTGTCAAAGGACATTAGGGACAAGATTGTAGGCCTGCACAAAGCTGGAATGGGCTACAAGACTCTCAGCAAGAAGCTTGGTGAGAAGGAAACAACTGTTGGAGCGATTATTCGCAAATGGAAGGAATATATAATAACGATCAATCACCCTCGTTCTGGAGCTCAATGCAAGATTTTGCCTCATGGGCTGAGGATGATCATGAGAAAAGTGAGGGATCAGCCCAGAACTACACGGGAGGAGCTTGTGAATGCTCTCAAGGCAGTTGAGACCACAGTCCCCAAACAAACCATTGGTAACACAATACACCGCCATGGATTGAGATCCTGCAGTGCCCGCAAGGTCCCCCTCCTCAAGAAGACACATGTACAGGTCCGTCTGAAGTTTGCCAATGAACATCTAAATTATTCAGAGAAGGATTGGGAGAAAGTGCTGCGGTCAGATGAGACCAAAATTGAGCTCTTTGGCATTAACTCGACTCGCCATGTTTGGAGGAAGAAAAATGCTGACTATGACCCTAAGAACACCATCCCTACAGTCAAGCACGGAGGTGGAAACATTATGCTTTGGGGCTGTTTCGCTGCTAAAGGTACAGGCCGACTTTGCCGCATTGAGGGGCCAATGGACGGGGCCATGTATTGTAAAATCTTGGATGAGAACCTCCTTCCCTTAGCCAGAACACTGAAGATGGGTCGTGGATGGGTCTTTTAGCATGACAATGACCCAAAACATAAAGCAACAAAGCAGTGGCTCAGGAAGAAGCACATTGAGTGGCCTAGCCAGTCTCAAGACTTTAATCCTATAGAAAATGTATGGAGGGAGCTGAAACTTCGAGTTGCCAAGTGACAGCCAAGAAACCTTAAGGATTTAGAGAAGATCTGTAAAGAAGAGTGGAACAAAATCCCTCCTGAGATGTGTGCAAACCTGGTAACCAACTACAAGAAACATCTTACCTCTGTGCATGCCAACAAGGGTTTGTCCACCAAGTACTAAGTCATGTTTTGCTTGGGGATCAAATACTTATTTTACTAGAGAGAGATTATTAGGGATGCATCTATACCATTTTTCCACACCAAGAACAAGTACAGATACTTGTCCTCACAGATATCAATTACTGATACCATTTTGTTTATTGCTATGTGACAGTTTTTCTAAAACAATACAGACTAATGATTTCAGGACAGTGGTGGAGTGCCAGGGCCCAGACACAGCTGCAACTTCTGCAACCCTGGTAGTTCTTGTGGAAATGTAAGTATCGGCACTGGTATCTGTGCATCCCTACTGAATACCCAAACAGTGACTGCATCTGGTAGAATACAGTACACCTGGATCCCTGCATTCATTTATCATCGTTTATTTATATAGGGTCAACACAGTCTGTAGTATTTAGCATATGTTACAATAGTGGTACCTCTAGGATCTATTGTTTGAGATCATATTGTTTGAAATATGGTGCATGTTATTATTATTCTTTAAGATATCTATTACCACCAAAAATTAATTTTTGCGGGAAGGTTGTATAGTGAAAGTGAAACAGTTTAGAGCAGCGAAATAAGTTTAAAGGACGAATTGTGTCTTACCTGAGTATTTTCCCCCTTTGCTGCGTTTGATGAAGCACAGGATGAGAAGGATAAGCAGGAGCAGTCCAATAGCACTCATAAGCCCAATAAACCAGCCCTCTGTAGCGAATCCTTTCTGAGTAACACCAACAGCTGTAAAAGCAAATAAAGTGACAGATATTCAGCAACGAGAAAGTGATACTTTTTCTTTATTTTTGTAGCAATTAGTAATTAGCGGCCTTCATTGCTAGAACCAATTACAAATATCTATTACAGTTGTAAGCAAAAATAATTCAATTTGTTAAATAGTGAAGGACAAATATGGCCTATATGCTTGTCAAGAAAATGTTCTACATGGCCTGATCACACCATCTCCAGATCATCTTAAGATCAGAATTTTTTTTATCTGCACCAAAAAAGCATACACATTCCAATGGTTTTAAATAAGGTTTGTTCACACCATTGCATTCGGTTCCAGAGCTTTACAGCAAGTACAGCATGCTGCTTTTTATTCTCTGGAATGCACAAAAAACGCATGCAAACATGTAAATGTACTAGAATGGGCAAAACCAACTTGAGAAAAAAACATATCGGAATGCATCAGAAACATGCATAAACGTGTTTGCAGAAACGCATCCAGATCTGGTCTGGGGATGGTGTGAACAAGCATTAAAACCTATAACTAGTTAAACAAAACACCCTTGCTGTGGGTCTATGGGTCTCATGTCAAGGGTTAGCTACTCATTTTTGCCTGGGGGACCATTGTAATGCTGGGGTGGGAACTGTAGAAAGACCAACCTGTGTGTGTCTTAGGGGTGGGATCTCACTGGGGAAAGGCCATTGTGCGTGCTGGAGGTGTGATGACACTGCTGGAGAATGCGCTTTTCAGCTGAATTAACCCCTTCATGACTGAGCTAGTTTTCAGGTTCTGTTCATAAATGACTGACACACTTTTTACATTTTTGCTGTGTGATTCTTCCACGGCAGTAATATACTTTCTTACTAAATGTACCCACACATATTATATATAGTTTTTTAGAGGACAGATAGGGCTATATAATTATATCACATATGTGTACCTAACCCCTTTTGGTTTTGATAATTATTATTTTTTTTGAATTTTTTTATATTGATTGATTATAGTATAAAAAATATATGTATATATAATTTTTATTTTCCTAATTTTGTTTTACACTTTATTTTAATTTTTTTACACTTTGTAAAAAAAATTAATATAAGCCTGATATAACAGTGTACGTGGCCAGTCATATAGGCACAAAGTGCCGGGACGTACACTGTACGTCTCCCGTCACGAAGGGGTTAAAGACAAAATGCAGAATTTCCCAGTGACAAATCACAAAGTAAAAGTAGAATGTAATTATTAACCATCTGTGGGCCACCAAATGCCGGTGTGCTGGCACAATGTTCTGGGAGGATGTACCTGTACGTCCTCCTATGAACACCTTTGTGCACATGGCCACGGCAGCTGCTCCCGCTGTCATTAGACCAAAAAGACTATCTCTGTGTCCTGTGATCTCTGTGATTGGTTATAAAAGCAATCACATGGCAAACATTGGGAGCAGTGGCTGGCCCTCCCCTTCCTCTTACATCAGAGGCAGGGGAGAGAAAAATAAGCAATTAATGGAGTCAAAAACGAGCAGGGTAGCACCACTGCAAGGGTTAATAATATTTTTCCTGGCCTTTTTATTTAAATAGCACTAAAAGAAAGCTTTATTTGTCCCAAAAAAGATATACATTAATTCCAGATACATTAATTTTGTTACAGTGTTACGTGATGGAGGAATTCTTAGACAAATCTGCACAGTGCTAAAAACTGAAAAAAATGGGCAGGTAATGAAGGGGGGTGTAACATGCCAGTCCTGAAGTGGTTAAGGAAGAATGAAACGTTTGGAGATAGAAGTTTGCCAAAACTTACCTGAGGAAGCCAAAATCCTTTTGGGAGAATGTGCTGTGGACAGACGAAACAAAATGACAGCTTTTTGGTAAAGCCCATCATTCTACTGTTTTCAGAAAAAGAAAACAGTCAAACATGGTGGAGGTTCACTGATGTTTTGGGGTTGCTTTGCTGCTTCAGGCACTGGATGTCTTGACTGTGTGCATAGCATTGGGAAATCTGAACACTACCAAAGAATTCTGGGGTGCAATGTAGGGCCCAGCATCAGAAAGTTGGGTCTCTGTCAGAGGTCATGGGTCTTACAGCAGGACAATGACCCAAAGCATACGTCAAAAAGCACCCAGAAATGGTTTCAAAACACTGGAGAGTACTGGACAGGCCAGCAATGAGTCCAGATCTGAACCTCATAGAGCATCTGTGGAGAGATCTCAAAACAGCAGTTGGGAAAAAGAACCCTTCCAATCTGAGAGACCTGGAGCAGTTGGTGAAAGAAGAGTGGTCCAAAATTCCTGTAGAGAGGTGTAAGAAACTCATTGATGGGTACAGGAAGGAATCGATTTCAGTTTTTTTTTCTTCCAAGGGCTGTGCTACCAAATATTAATTGAGGGGGGCAATAATTTTGTCCAGTCCATTTTTCGAGTTTTGCGTGGAATGTATCAGATTTGGCTTTTTTCTCTCAACTTTTTTGTGTCATACCAATACAAATAAAAGAAATAAACATAAGAATGCCAAAACATTTGTAATTGCAACAATTTTACAATTACAATTTTGGTACATTATCTGACAGAAATGCAGGGGTGCCAATATTTTTAGCCATGACTGTATATATATTTTTAATTTGTATTAGTTCTTTTTAGTTAAAACTTTGGGGAAAAACAATATGCAATGCATTCAGAAACTATTTAGACCCCCTTCACTTTTTTCAATTTTGTTATGTTGCAGCCTGGTACTACACTTGTTTACAGCATTAATCTGCCCTCAGTACCCCATATTGACAAAGTGAAAACAGAATTTTAGAAATGTCTGTAAATGTATTAAAAAGAAAAAAACTGAAATATAACACTTGCAATTTAGCTCAGGTGCCTCCCATTTCTCTTGATTGTTGCTGAGATGTTTCTACACCTTAATTGGAGTCCACCTCTAGTAAATTAAATTGATTGGACATGATTTGGAAAGGCACACACTTCTCTATAGAAGGCCTCACAGCTGGCAATGCATACTGCATCAGAGCAAAAGCCATAAGGTCAAAGTAACTGCCTGCAGAGCTCAAGGACAGGATTATTGCAAGACACAGATCTAGGGAAGGCTACAAAAAAATTCTGCTGCACTGAAGGTTCCCAAGAGCATAGTGGTCTCCATAATTCTCAAATGGAAGACATTTGGCACAACCAGGACTCTTCCAAGAGCTGGTCGTACGGCCAAACTGAGCAATCAGGGGAGAAGAGCCTTAGTAAGAGAGGTGACCAAGAACCTGATTGTCACTCTGACTGAGCTCCAGATATTCTGTGTGGATATGGGACAAAGTTCCAGAAGGGAAACCATGATTGCAGCCCTCCACTTATCTGGCCTTTATGGCCGAGCTGCTAGTTGGAAGCCTCTCATCAGTGCAAAACACATGAAAGCCTGCTTGGAGTTTGCAAAAAAGCACATGAATGACTCTCAGACTGAGGAACAAGATGATCTGGTCTGATGAAACAAAGATTGAACTGTTTGGCCTCAATTCTAAACATTATGTCTGGAGGAAATCAGACACCGCTCACCACCTGCCCAATACCATATCAACAGTGATGCATGGTGGTGGCAGCATCAAGCTTTGGGGGTGTTCTTCAGTAGCAAGGACTGAGAGACTGGTTGAGGGAAAGCGGAATGGCGCAAGTACAGAGATATCCTCAATGAAAACCTGTTCCACAGCACTCAGGACCTCAGACTGGGCCGAAGCTTCACCTTCCAACATGACAACGATCCTAAGCACACAGCCAAGACAACACAGGAGTGGCTTAGGGACAACTCTGTGAATGTCCTAGACTGGCCCAGCCAGAGCCCTGACTTGAACTCTATTGAACATCTCGTGGAGAGACTTGAAAATGGCTGTCCATCGACGGTCCCCATCCAACCTGACTGAGCTTGAGAGGATTTGCAAAGAAGAATGGCAGAAAATCCCACAATCCAGGTGTGTAAAGCTTGTTGTGTCATACGCAAAAAGACTCAAGGCTGTAATTGCTGCCAAAGGTGCTTCAATAAAGTACTGAGTAAAGGGTCTAAATACTTAAGCACATGTGATATTTCAGTTTTTTTCTTTTTAATAAATTCACAGACATTTTTAAAATTCTGTTTTCACGTTGTCATTATGGGGTACGGAGTGTAGATTAATGAGAAAAAAAAGAATTGAAACAACTGAAAAAAATAAAAAGTGAAGGGGGTCTAAATACTTTCTGTATCTTTCTGCACTGTATAATACATTAGAGTAACTCAGAAAAGCAGAAACCTGCAGAATCTAGAAATCTCTGGAAAGAAAAGCTCTGGGACTCAAAGGAATACAGTGTATAAAAAAACTCAGGGACTAGTGTGGTGAAACAGTCCTGCTCCTACATAACTAGAACCAAAACATACTGCACAAATATTATTTTATCTTTATAGGACAGATATATAAGTGGTCAACTTAAGAAAAGTCCATATCTCACCTATAGGTGAAGTCTGCACTTCATTCTTCCAGATCTCCTCAAAGCCACTGTAGTTTAAGGCCATTAAACGGATGTGATAAGTCTTCCCTGATTGCAGTTCATGCAACTTGTACTCTGCATCTGATGCATTGACAACACCATGGAGCTGCCACTGGTCATCTGGGTATGGGATGAATAATAGTATCAGTAAAAGCTCTTAAGCTAGAAAAGCATTTTCAATAAAGAAATAATTAGAGTTAAAAAAATCTAGAAAACTGGCCTATTTGTGTACCTATACAAAAAGAAAACCCATTTGAGGCAGCCTAGACCAACATGTAAAAGAAAGCAAGCTGATATCAATAAAATATACCAGTAATTTGTATTTCTTTGAGATTTAAACAGTAAAATTTCCCAACAAGTTTGTGTCTTTGCGCCCCTCATGGTCACAATTAGTCATGTAAATTAGTCATTAGGCATCTGAACCCTTCCGTATTTTACTACTTTAAATTATAAAGTATCTACTGGGCAAGAGTGATGGCATGTTGTGGCCTGATAATAGTTGAAACAATTTGAACTGAAATATCTAGTAGGAAGATGTTGCTAGATTTTGATATATGCATGTAATTCAGATTGCAAGCTATTAGACAAATTTAAGTAACAGTTTTGGGTGAAACTGGCTTAATCTAGAAAACTATGAAGTAGTATTAATAAAGACAGTTTAGTGATGTTACATTTAAGTTCACTTTCATACAGTAGTGCATCTGCCATATGGCAAAGTGAGAATCCTACAAGACTGGGTTCACATATCTGCAGATCTTTTTCTCTACTGTGCACACATTAAAACGCATTGAGGTAAGGCAACCCATTTATTTTAAATTGGCTGTCGATGCATTACAGCAAAACGAAATATAGACTGTAGAAATGTCAGTTCACAACAACACAGTACAGATGGTTAATTGTTTACTGCAGCGTGGGGTGCGTTGTAGATGTGCAGTGGGGGTGATGATAAAACACAAGCATTAAAAAAATATACTATCATGTGCCGAGCTCTAAAGATAGTGAATAAATCATAAATGGTGAAAGGAACAATGTGACATAACATATTCATTCGTCAGTGACAGGAATAATATTGAAACATATCAAACTCTGTGGGGTTGATTTACTAACCTTATAAACATGCCACAAACAAGTATACAACTCTGTAGTGTGTTCCCTCCCAGCATGATCTATTGGTGGAATCTAGACACCTTTGTAGTGTGTACACACCCAGCAAGTGTGTTGTGCAAAGCCCTGCATGAATTGCAAGGTGATGTTGTCTAAATTAGCTCTACATTGTGTTGCTTGCGTTGATGAATGCAGGAATGTAAATGCATGAGCTAACCATTTTTGTCTAAACTGTGAAGCAGCATTATATATGCATCATGTGCATTATTTTTCCATATATGGCATTAGTGGAAATATGCTTTTAGAGACTTTTTGGTTGATAAATACGTTTTGATGTGTAAAAATCACACGCACCTAGTGCGTGCGTGTGTTTAGGTTCGTAAATCACCCCCTGTATATTTAAACTCTGTTTAAAATATTCAATTTTATTGGACGATACGCGCTATGTTTTTGCGTTTGTCTCTTTTTGGATGGACTCCATTTATGTGCATCTGCAATGATTGAATTTGGAGCTAGCTTTTAAATGGTGTCCCTCCAAGCAAAGAAGGGAACAGCGTTTAACCCCTTCGTGACGGAGACGTACAGTGTACGTCCCGTCACAAAGTGGCTATATGACTGGCCACGTACACTGTACGTGCCGAGTTATATTAGCCTCTGTAATGCTGGTAACTGCTGATTCTCAGCAGTTCCAGTCATTAATGAATGCCTCACTATTGAGGCATTCATTAATGAAATAGTTAAGCTTTTTTAAAAGCTTCTTTCTTTCATTAATGAAAGAATGAAGCCTTTACATTCAGATACGGGTTCGCTAAATAGCGATCCCGTATCTGACAGCTGAAGATAGCAGAGAGGTAGTAGTGACTCACCTCTCTGCTATTCCTTTTGACAGCTGGAGAGCCTGGCCCGATGTTAAATGATACATTTCAACCACTAGATACAAAATGTATCTCTTGAGTGAAATGTATCAGTTTTGATCGTCTAGGAACGATCAAAGACCTTTAGTGAGATCTGATTCTGACATGCTGTAAGGATCAGTCTCTAAAGTTATTATTAGCTGTTCCTAAGCTTGGAGCAGCCTGATAATAACTA